CATCCAGATAAAAAAGACAAGCCCATAGAATTCTTTGAAAGAAAGCTGAACATCCTTCACAAACAGCAAGACAGTTTTCCCTTGGCAACCACTACTAGTGAAAAAGCATTAATAGCAAGTTATAAAGTTGCTTATCGTGTTGCCAAAACTAATAATTCGCACACAATTGCTGAAAATCTGATTTTTCCAGCAGCTGTTGAAATGGTATCTACATATAATGTGTGGGGAAAGGGAGGCTGCAAAATTAAATACAATACCTCTGTCAAATAATAAAGTAGTAAATATGATATTGACTGGGGTAAATGTATTGCTATATGCACAGATGGCGCTAAAGCTATGACAGGACATAAATCTGGTCTTGTCGTCAAATTATAAGAAATAATGCCTAATGCCAAATGGAGACATTGTTTTTTACATCGAGAAGCTCTTGCGTCCAAAGCTTTACCTCCTGAAATGGACTGTGTTATGAAAACCATCATTAAAGTTGTAAATTCCATTAAAGGAAAAGCTTTGCAGACCCGTATTTTTAGAAAAATTTGCGAAGGCATTTGTGCTTTATTTGAAAATCTTCTTTATCACACCGAAGTCAGGTGGCTTTCAAGGGGCAACGTCTTAAAAAGAGTATTTCACTTAAGAGCAGAGCTGTTAATGTATTTGAAAGATGAGAAGTCCCCATATGAAAATCAATTTTCCGATCCTATTTGGCTTCTGAAAGTAGGTTTCCTTGCTGATATTTTCGAGCAATTAAATATTTTGTACAGTAATTTACAAGGTTAATTTACATTAATATAATTACAGCCACAGATAAAATTAAGGTGTTTCTAAGAAAAATCGATTTATGGTCGACCTCACTTGGCAAAAAACAACTCGATTCATTCCAGTGCCTTCAGGAAATTATGGAAAATGTATCCAATTACAGTGCTACAAATTTTGAACAAGTTTTTGCTGACATGCATGTTACTTTGCTCAATTTAAAACAACAGCTCTGTGATTATTTCCCCGAAGAAATTCAAAACAGTTACGACAGTTGCAGATGGATACTAAATCCGTTTTTAGCCGATTCTTTTCAGCATGTTAAAATACCAATAAACATGAAAGAAAAACTTATTGAAATATCAAGTGATGGAATGTTGAAGCTCCAATTTTTTTCCCAGAACTCGGACCAATTTTGGACCGAAAAGATGCAGGAATACCCCCAGTTGGCGAGTGAAGCTGTAAAATGTTTGGTTTCATTTGTAACATCATATTTGTGTGAGTTAAGTTTCTCGTCTACGACTGCCATTAAAACAAGAGTTAGAAATCGTCTCGTACTTGAAAGTGTGTGTCTCAAATACACAGCCAAGATTTGAAAGATTAGTTTCACAGAAACAGGCGCATAGCTCTCATTAAGATTATAATATTTGACTTTGTGTTACTTTTTTATTTTTACGGACTTTCATATTTAATTTTATATTTCGTCTGATACTTAATTGTTAATTTCTATTTACGGCGTTGTTAAAATAAAAATACATGATCTAACAAAGTGGTGCTTTTGTCTTATTTTGGAAATGTTCGGCGACCTCCCTAGTACCTCATGGCGACCCCCACTTTGAGAAACACTGTACTAGCGGTTAAAAGGGTATTCTTATTAACGTATGTGTCGTTGTATGTGAGAATGGTACGTTTCTGCCCCCTGTCACGGTTTTTCCGAGGAAATATAATAAAGAGCATTATGATACAAAGAGCTCCACTTGGCACACTGGGCTTGGCAAATCCAAGTGGATAAATGAATAGCGAGCTGTTTGTCGTTATGAAACACTTCATCAAGTTTAGTAACAGTTCAATTAAAAATCCTTTCATAGTGATCTACAACAATCACAAAAGTCACGTAACATATCACATTGTTTAACAGGCAAAGGATAATGGTGTGAGCATACTGACTCTGCCTCTTCATTGTAGTAACAATCTGCAACCTCTTGATGTTTCAATGTTTTTACCTTTAAAACAATGCCGCTATAGACTCATGGTTGCTGAGCCATCCTGGTAAACCTATTTCAATATACCTTATAGCACAATGAGTAGAAGGAACATATATGAAAGCAATAATACCTACTAATATTCGTTGCAGATCTCTACATTTTCACTATTGTAAACGGTATTTGGCGAAGTTAAACTATCACTGTAGCGATGGCGTCACAGTGGCGGATATTTCCCAGTTTATTATAATTGTTTGTCGATTGGTGTGAGTATCAAAACTTTTTCAAAAAGTATTTGAAAATAAACACTGTGTCACGTTGAAGTTCTATAATCAGTCTTTGATATAATATATGCTAATTCGTTTTCTTCAAATTGATTAATTTTAGACATAACCTGCTCTTTTGATGTACAAAGCAAGAGTGTTTACAATATGGACTATGCCTCTGTTTTCATTATGGGCTAGTGGCTCATATTTAGAACAATGTGAAACATACTTCAATTGTTTCAGTATGTCAAAACTACAGCTGAAAGAAGATAAAAAATGGAATGAGAGAGATATGGAACATGTAATTATAGCTAATATCAGGCAGCACGAAACGGGTACGCTGAAAGCTGCAAAAATGTTTAATGACCCACGTTCTACGTTGCAACGCTTTGCAAAGAAAACTTGAATTAAAGCCATTTGAAGCTGCTATAATAAAGTTAGGGCATAAATCTGTCTTAGGGGATGATCTTGAGGACGAGTCAGTTCGTTATATATTTTGAAAATGGAAGCTAAATTTCATGGATAAAAAAGAAAAGATCTACGGAGAACGGCGTACGTTTTAGCTTCCAGGAACAATATCAAACATCCGTTTGGAGGTAATACGGCAGGCAGAGCCTGGGTGAGGCTTTTCGTGCAGCGCCATAAAGAGCTATCAGTACAACGACCAACGGGAAGATCATATTCACGAGAAAGAGGCTCCACCAAAGAAAATATCGCATCCTTCTTCAATGCTCTGAAAAAAGAATATGACAAACGGTTTTACCCACCAGACATGTCTTACGGTTGTACAAAACAAGATTTCACAAGTAGTAGGCCGAAAAGGGAAACCACAAATATCATCATTAACTTCTGCCGAGAGGGGCTCTCTGCTAACCGTCGTGAGATCGATGAGCGCTGCTGACCAATTCATCCCACCAATGATGATATTATCACGTAAAAATATTAACCAGCATCTGATGAAAGGAGCTCCTCCAGGTTCCATTATGGCAGTACATTCCAGTGGATGGATACAAAGCAATATTTTCACAAGATAATTTCAACATTTCATTAACACAGTGAAACCCACAGAAAAATCACCAATCTTGCTTATTATGGATGGTCATTACAGCCATACTCGTAATATAGATGTCATAGATTTAGATAGAAATAATCATGTCACAATAATTGTCTTGCCCCCATTGCACCCACAAACTCCAGCCATTGGACAAAACGTACATGGGTGTTCTTAAGGCTTACTACAGCGAAGAGAACAGGGTCTGGTTGCGCCACAATAATCGTCCACTAAGTGCATTTGGTGTGTCAGAGCTCTTTGGGAAAGCTTATTTGAAAAGTCAAACTGGAGAGATTGTCCTTATTTGAAATTGAAGCAGAAAATACTTCTGACAGCCGCACCTGATGATGCAAGTGATGAAGATGATCGTCGTTTCAACCGCTGCTGTCAATTCAAATAAATCTACAAATTCTGACGATAACTCTATCAATTCTGAGAGCACACCAGAAAAACGTAAGCAAGTTACCAAAGTCACAAAGAAGTTATTTGATATATTGTTTGTATTTATATATTTGTTACGCATTTATCTCATTTCACACAAATTTAAGACAAATTTTTCGGGGTAGTCCATATTTAAGATCATTATTCAAACGACGCAAAACTACATCTACATATCTAGAAATAATTGGAATAGATGATAAAGTATCGAAGATTTTCAATTCCTTATAGATCGAGTCACTAGAGAATGCTCTAACGGACTAAGCATAAATACAACAAAGACAAAGTTACTTGTGGTTAGTAAACAAGACCTCGGCGCTATACAAATAATTGTCAGTAATGAACCTATAACAAAAGTTAACCATTTTAAATATCTAGCATGTTGGATAAACGAGACACTAAATACGGATGAAGAAATTAAAACTCGTATAGAAATTGCAAGAGGAACATTTATGAAACTTAGATGTTATGTGTATTCTGTATTACTGTATGGATGTGAAACCTGTATTATGAAGGTTAACATGATGAACAAATTCGAAGCCTTCGAGATGTGGTTATATCGTAGAATGCTGAGAACATCATGGGTTCAACACATTTCAAACAGATAAGTCTTGAACAGAGTAGGTCAAAGTGAAGGTGACTTAATAAAGTAGATAAAAAAGAGAAAACTCGAATATCTGGGGCATATAATGGCAGGAAGCAGATACAGGATAATGCAGTTGATACTCAACGGGAAGATCGACGGAAGAAGCGGAATTGATAGAAAGAAATCCTCATGGCTCCGAAACCTTCGTCAATGGACTGGCTTATCAGCAGATGAATTATTACATGCCGCGCAAGATCAAGAACGATATCGGCAAATCGTCATGGAAGCTACCCAGCCTAAAACTTGGGCATGGTACTTAAAGAAGAATAAGTCAATTATTATTAATGAAGTTATCACGCAACTTTTTCTACAAAAATCAGAATACCGCCGCTCACATCCATCTCAAAATAGGTCAGCTTTGGTCTAGTAGTAATACTTAACATATTTGTTTAATATAACTCTGTGGATTGGTGAATCAGTAGGCACTGTATAGTCAAGGACATAAAATAACACATATTTCCATATATTTTTTTGTTTTAAAACCTTTTTTGGTTTTATTTATTTTTATTATTATTAAATATTTAATATTTATTATATATTAAAATTGTTTAAAAGGGGTTAACCATATTTTTTAATTAAAAAAAATAATTATCTAAATATTAGGGGGCTCATCATATAGGTAATAAAGTAAAACTCAAGCTTCAATTTCCAAATTTATTTTCAGCACTTGCAATAGACTAAAAAAGAATTAAAACTAGAGTTTGTTAATTATAGTAGCTATATGAAGGTTAGATAAAATGTATGTTTATGGGGAATTTGAAATATCCATATTATCAGATTTTTCAGGGGATCCTTTTTCTATATTCTCACATTCTATTTCTTTCGGTTTGTCCTTTTCAGTGTCAAAACCTTTTTCCTCTTCATCATAATTCCTTGGAACCTTAGAATGGGACCTAGTAGATCTATTGGAAAGTGATCTAGACCTAGATCTTTCTTTCCTCTCCTTTTCTTTATCTCTGGATCTAGACCTTTTTTCTCTTACTCTTCGGTCCTTATCTCTTTTATCTGATTTTTTATCTCTTCTCCTGTCCCTCTCTCGACTTTTACTTCTGCTTCTTCTTCTTGGGCCTCTTGGAGATGGCGTTCTTCTTCTGCTTCCCCTGGATCTCGATCTTCTTCTTTCCCTTCGACGATCTCTAGACCTAGACCTTCTCTTACTTCTACTTCTAGATCTAGATTTTCGTTTTTCTTCAACACTGCCTTCTTTGTCACTTTTCTTTTCTTTTGCTTCTTTAGGCGTTTTTTTCCTTTTCTGGTGACTCTATATCCTTGGATTTCTTCTCTTTTTCTTTTTCTTTATCTTTATCATCTCTTTCATGGCTCCTTTTTCTATCTCTAGAGCGGTCTCTTGATTTTCTATCACGATCTCGGGACTTTCCTCTGGATCTTTCTTTGGATCGATGCCGGGATCGTCTTCTAGATCTCGATCGGGATCTTCTTGGTGATCTTGATCTTCTCGATCTTGATCGTCTATCTCGAGATCTGGAATGACGCCTACCTCGAGATCTTGACCTTTTTCTACGGTCCCTTGACCTAAAAAAATATATATATTAAATAAACAATTCCATACCATATAATGTCTGTTGATAACTAGAAATTTATTACATAAGAGCTGTAAGCTTTCGCGGCTGGTGTTTTGTAATGATACATTGTTGCCAGGTTTATAGGCTGTGGTCTAACAGACAGTAAGCAGCAGACAGTTATTAACATCGCCTCATCGCCTTTGATAATGTCTGCCACAGTTGTATATGAACTGCCAGGAAGAAATAATTGCAACTCACCTCCTACAAACCCCAAAAACAATGCGCCATTACAAAAGTTTTATTGCTGAGTTTATTTGGTATTATTATGATTAAAGAATTAGCAACAATATGTATGAAAAAAATTAAATACTATCTTCTAGCAAACAATAACTCTAAACCAGTTGATTACAATAAATAAATGGCAAGGATATATCGCTGCTTCTGTAAATTCAGTACAGTCTTACTAATCTGGCACTATTAAAAACCAGAGGGTGCCGGATTATTGGATTGTTCGGATTACTGGATTGTATAGAAATATTCGTAATAAATATTTACAGAATGAAGAGATCCTGTGTCCCTAAAAAAACTGAATATCCTAACCAAAACAAAAATACTAAAACTAAATATTAAATGAACTTTGATAATATACAAGGCAAATATCGAGCACAGTATTAATTTAATCTTGCCAAGTACTTTCGATCACTAGATCATCTTCAGGGGCATCTGAAATAAGCCAAGAAACGTTTTTTTAACTAAAGAAATTAATTAACTTCAATAAAAACTCGAAGTTTATGGTTGATAAAAGTTTTTATGTGATTAATGTTTATAGACTTTCTCATCAATTGCGGCCTATCCGACAAGAGTAGAATGTCATAAATATAAAATGGGACATCACAATACACTACACAAAGACAAACAAACACTTTAAAATTTTTTTAAGATAGGCGAAGCTACATGTTGTATAGAAGCCGGAGACAGAATGGATCACTATCTAGCGGAAATGTTGAGATGACATGTGACAAATGACAGCTTGGAAAGGGCAGTTACAATCATAGATATGTGATCTGCACCTTTCAAAATTCTATGAAACTAAGTATTGACCAAAGATCCAACTGACACTACTATAGGAAATCAGCTGATGAAATATAAAATTATATAGAATTTTTTTGTTTAAGTAGATTGAATAATCCAGATCTCACACTAAAACCTAATTAGGGTGTTAGTTTGAGAGCAACTGAAGTCGGCATAAAGTATGAATGCAAGAAATAGACTAAACAATATATTAGAGAGTGGGTTGTTGACTACAATAAAATTATCTACCAAGCACTATCAGTACTGTAGAAAAGAAGAAATCTGAATATGCAATTAAGTTACTAAAAATTAAAATCAAAATTGAAAGCAAAATATATAAATGGGTTATAATCCAAGTAGTTCAGTTGAATTCACAATCAATGGAAGAACTATAAAATTAATGTGGAAATACTCAGTGCCAGAAGTCTAAACAGGCGAGCCGGGTCTCCTACTAGGTGAAGCTGTAATAAAGTTTTTAAAAATAGGTTTAAATTTAGTACAATTTAAATTAATTTGAGTATTAAGACAGTGAGAGTTTTCATTTGTTTCCCTTGTAATCTCCAAATCTTCCAATAAATCCAACTCCAGATAGTTTTTCTTTCTACTAATGTCATGTAAGATAGATGAACCAGAATTGATGTTAAAATTGTGGTTGCTGGATAATAAGTGTTGACCAAAACTTGAAGAGTTTGGTCTTTTCAAATGTTCAGAAACTCTAGTGGATAACTTTCTGATGGTTCTACCTACATAAGAAGCATCACAATCATCATGTTTTAATTTGTAAATACCACTTTTATCAAGTGTGTTCATCCTATCTTTGGTGTTGATTAAGAAGGAACCTAAAGTGTTGTGTGAGTTATCAATTTTAGAAGTAAAAAGTTTAGATATTTTATTGGAAATGTTGCTAATATAAGTGAAGGAGAAATATCTGATATTATTTGAAGTATTAGGTTGATAAAACTGTGATGAATATGCAAGCTTTTCTGCAATTTTTCTAGACCATGAGCCATTCTGTCTCCCGCTTCTATACACCATGTAGCTTCGCCTATCTTCAAAAATTTTAAAGTGTTTGTTTGTCTTTGTGTAGTGTATTGTGATGTCCCATTTTATATTTATGACATTCTACTCTTGTCTGATAGGCCGCAATTGACGAAGTAAGTCTATAAAAGTTAATCACATAAAAACTTTTCAACCATAAACTTTGAGTTTTTATTGAAGTTAATTAATTTCTTTAATTAAAAAACGTTTCATGGCTTATTTCAGATGCCCCTGAAGATGATCTAGTGATCAAAAGTACTTGGGCAAGATTAAATTAATACTATGCTCGATATTTGCCTTGTACACTATCAAAGTTCATTTATTCTAGCATTCAACCTTATATCAATTTAAATATTAAATAACTATTAAAGTGAAACAAATGATTTTTGTTTAACATGTTTAACAAATGACTAATAAGGCCAGTTTTAATGGGTCAGAAATGTGGTCACTTACACAGAACAACCAAGAATTGCTTAAATGTTTCAATAGAAAAATTCTATAGATAAAAGATTTGAAAATGAATATCAGCAAAAAATTGTAAAGATGACGATTTTGTCTTGCACGGGTTTGGTTAGGTCATAAAGAGGAATACTTACATGCTGGTATGTCTTCTATTAGGATTAGGAACAACATTCCAATTTTGCAAGATGCCTAGCTTGTAGAAAAATTTTATTTTATTTAATTTTTTATAGATTCAATTTTCCCTAAAGACAATTGTTTGAGATAAATAACGAAACATTAGGAAAAATGTTTTTCTGGTCCCAAAAAAGAGAAACAAATATCTTTACAAGATTACCCTCACATCATTGCCCTACTTATAGATAATATTCACTAATAAAACCAATGGCAAGACTTTTTCTATATTTATTTTAAGTCTCAGTGTAACTTCAATGGAATCACTAACATAATTTTAATGTCATGATGAAATCATTATTCATTTCACAGCAGTTCTAAAGTTAAAGCTTATTTGATATACATACTCAAAGAAACTATCTACCCTCCAATAAAATCGTCCTAGCAGTGCTTTTCAAAATATTAAAAATAGCATTTTAATGTCTTTTACTTTAAAATGTACATAACTTGTCTGAATTGTCATTACCAAATATGAGCAGATAAAATTAAATTATTACAAAAACAATGTCCAAAAAAACAAAATTTGGACCACAGGATGACAGATTAAAGTATTTTTTATTTAGAGATGTTGACACTCTCTATAATCAACAGACCATTAAATATTTAGTACTTGCTGTCTCTTGCACTTACCTTGATCTTCTTGATCTAGATGAAGACCTTCTTCTTCTGGACCTTGATCTTCTTCTAGATCTAGACCTGGATCTCTTTCTTCTGCTTCTTGATCTAGACCTTGATCTACGTAAACTTCTTTTATCTTTTGTAAGCATGCCAATGACTGGTTCAATTGAGGCATTAATCATATTTTGTGCTTCCTTAAATCTAGACATTGCCTCTTCAATTTCCTTTTGGGCTGCTTCATTACTTTTTGCTTGCGGTTTGGTTATTGGTTGAGTTGCATGTTCCACCATTATTATTTGTCCCTTGTATTCTTGTCCACTCAGTTTTAATGCATTTACCACACATGCTTGATCTGAAAACTCAATAAGCATATGTTGATTATCATCAGAGTCTCTTTTACATACCCTAAGGTATTTAACTTCTCCAGCTGAACTAAAAAAGTCAATTATATCATCATTAGATATCGAAGGGTGGTAATTCAGCATTAAAATGGTTCTACGTGTTTCTTCAATTTTTGCAGTATCAAAACTTGATGGTAACGGTGGATACGGCGGCAAACCGTTAGCATGCAAATGAGGATCGGAGGTAATTATCACCTCTTCTTGCTCTGTCTTATGAATTGTATTGATAACATGAGGGGGCAATTTTGGATCAGTTGGGTTAGACCTGGTACTATTGTTCCATTTTTAGTCATCTCCAGAGCATAATATTCATCTGGAATGTCTCCGCTTGATATAGGAATCACAATCAAAGCTCTATCTATAAAAACAGTATTTGTCATATGTTGAGCAATTCCTACAGTAGTACTATCAACAAATTTTATATAACAAATGCGTGACTGAACAGGACATGAAACATCTCGAATAGTAGGATATAAACGAATATCTTCTATTTTACCCAAGTATCCAAATAATATCTGCATCTGATCTTTGGTAGCTTGGGGAGCTATATTCGTCACTTGGACGACTTTTGTTGATCCTACTGCCATTTTATTTCAATAGTTACTTACGGCGGAAACAAATTTCTTGAAATAAATAATATTATTTATGTAAGATCTACATATTTTAAAATTTCACTTGCCGACTACACCAACAAAAATATGGCGACCACAACTTTTAACTACAAAACGACAGTTAAACGACAGTGACAAATGACAAATCCAAATTCTTCGTGTTTATATAAAGTTTATCACCTGTCGTTATAGTTACAAATACGTGGTGCCAAAAATACAGAGATATGTACAGGGTTACCAGGTCTACTGATTTTTCAGTAGATCTACTGAAAAATCTGTGATGATCAAATTATTGTCAAAAAGTCATCATTATATCAGTGCTCAATTATAAATTTTGGAAAAAATAATTTCTCATTCATTCTTATACACAATGCAACATGCATCAATTCTCGAACGTATGAATAAACACTTTCTTCTTTTTTCTTTATTAGTTATAAACGATAATTTATAACTATCGAATCAAAATCAAAACCCGAAACAATTGATACTCATTAGAGTCTTTCTTGCAGATTTCCCCAATATTTAAGAGTTTACTACATATATATATATATTATATATATATATATATATATATATATATATATATATATATATATATATAATATATATATATATATATATATATATATATATATATATAAGAAATACTGGATATTATTGACTGTCGATATAAACAAATAAAACAGTTTATTAGGGTTGCAGTCAGAATATTGGCCGGGATGTTAAAAAAACACTCTTTTGACTTTTTTGTCGAGCTTTCGGAATCGTTTTATTCCTTTTTCAAGACACTGCAATAAGACAAAAATGTAAATATTTAAAAAATATCACAATTCTTCAGTGTAACTTACTAGTCGTTGAGATTATTTGTATAAGCATTTACACTCAACATTTATAACACACATTAAAACATTAAAATATACAATTATGGACACAATACATTATAAAATTCTTAAAATTTATTGTAAAAATAGTAGGTAAAACTTAGTTGATAGCATGTTTTACTTTTGTATATTAACTCATGCAGAGAATGGAAAGTAAACACTGTAATTAATATGTAATTAGGTGTAATTGATGTTATCTTTCTTTTTAAGTGAACTATGCTTTTAACCTGTCTTAATGGTATGCAACATATTATACATAGAGGTGTAATTTATGTACAGGTAAATTTTTATTTTATTTTTGGTGTTTTTCTAGTAAATAACAATAAATGTTACTTAATTTGTCTATGTCTGACCTTTTGTTAATGCAAGATGTGCTAGATTTTATGAAACACATTTCCAAAAATACACGTTTTGAAAGGTTCTTTTCTTTTGCCAAAATACAGGAATCATCGAAATTAAATTCATGTTTCAAAGTTAGTGCATGTTCTGTCAATGCACATGCATTGATTTTTTTGGTTTTTATATCACTACGATGTGATATCACCCTGCTGTGAAAATTACGAGATGATTCTCCTATGTAAATTTTATTACAATTAGTACACGGTATAGAATAAACAACATTCGATGACTCCTGTATTGTGAAAGGATCTTTTGTTTTTGTGTAAAGCTTCGATACTGTTTTCACATTTTTGGTTGTAATTTTTAAGCCACTAATATTTTTAAAGATGTTCATTAGCTTAGGTGTCAAAAATGGAATGTAAGGTAGGCAACCATAAGTTATTTTCGATGGTAATATTGATGCGTTATGTGTCAATGTCATTTGTCGGATCTCATTGTTATGAAAATTTTGGTTGACAGAAACTTGTGAAGGAAAAGGAGAACCGAAAATGAGTTTATTTAACAGTCCTATGGGATAAGAATTCTCTTGTAGTATAGATCTCAACTTTTTTAGTCCCTTGTCCCTGAATTCTATGTGTGACAAGTTGATAACCCTCGTTTTTAAAGCCAAAACCAAATTTGTTTTCATCTTAGGCGGATGTTGAGAATAAAAGTTTATGAAACGGTTACTAAAACAAGGTTTACGATACCACTCCGTCCTTAGTATGCCATCATTGCCACGATGGATTAGCATGTCTAAAAAAGGAATCATATTATCAGCCTCTCTCTCAACCGTAAACTTTAGGTGTTCACATTGGGCGTTAAAAGTGTTTAAAACATCAGTTACCTTGTTTTCAGGGACCGATAAAATCAAATCATCTACATAACGTTTAACAAATGGTATGTGAAAAGGTATGTTTTCTTTACACGTTGTTATAAGTTCATCCAAAACAAAATTACATAGTATGGGGGATATTTTGCTGCCCATTGGAGTGCCAAAAATTTGTTTAAAAAAATTACCATTGAATAAAAAGATGTTAGAATCAAATATAAATGTTAACATTCTTATGAAATCATCTAAACTGATCTTAGTATGTGGAGAGATGTTGTTCCAGTTATTTTTAATACTGTTAAGAATAGCATCTAGTGGTAAGTTTGTAAACAGTGACACAACATCTAAACTAATCAATATGTAATTATTCGGAACTTTAACATTGTTAATGAAGTTACTAAATGAAAAAGAATCTCTAATATAGAATTCATTGGATTCGTTGTAGGAAATTGTGAGAATATCTGTAAGGTGTTTAGCAAGTTTACTATTGGGAGCATCAATGGAAGATACAATAGGCCTCATCGAAATAGTGGGTTTATGAACTTTTGGCAATGTATAAAACCTGGGTGCAACTGCATTGTAAATTTTCAAGGATTTTGCAACTTCTGTTGTTATGGATTTAGAAGCAGCTAAATCCGAGACCAGCTTGTTCGCCTTTTGTTGGAGGGTGCACACCGGACTGTTCTTAAGTTTTATGTAACTTTTTGTGTCATTTTTGACACCTAAGCTAATGAACATCTTTAAAAATATTAGTGGCTTAAAAATTACAACCAAAAATGTGAAAACAGTATCGAAGCTTTACACAAAAACAAAAGATCCTTTCACAATACAGGAGTCATCGAATGTTGTTTATTCTATACCGTGTACTAATTGTAATAAAATTTACATAGGAGAATCATCTCGTAATTTTCACAGCAGGGTGATATCACATCGTAGTGATATAAAAACCAAAAAAATCAATGCATGTGCATTGACAGAACATGCACTAACTTTGAAACATGAATTTAATTTCGATGATTCCTGTATTTTGGCAAAAGAAAAGAACCTTTCAAAACGTGTATTTTTGGAAATGTGTTTCATAAAATCTAGCACATCTTGCATTAACAAAAGGTCAGACATAGACAAATTAAGTAACATTTATTGTTATTTACTAGAAAAACACCAAAAATAAAATAAAAATTTACCTGTACATAAATTACACCTCTATGTATAATATGTTGCATACCATTAAGACAGGTTAAAAGCATAGTTCACTTAAAAAGAAAGATAACATCAATTACACCTAATTACATATTAATTACAGTGTTTACTTTCCATTCTCTGCATGAGTTAATATACAAAAGTAAAACATGCTATCAACTAAGTTTTACCTACTATTTTTACAATAAATTTTAAGAATTTTATAATGTATTGTGTCCATAATTGTATATTTTAATGTTTTAATGTGTGTTATAAATGTTGAGTGTAAATGCTTATACAAATAATCTCAACGACTAGTAAGTTACACTGAAGAATTGTGATATTTTTTAAATATTTACATTTTTGTCTTATTGCAGTGTCTTGAAAAAGGAATAAAACGATTCCGAAAGCTCGACAAAAAAGTCAAAAGAGTGTTTTTTTAACATCCCGGCCAATATTCTGACTGCAACCCTAATAAACTGTTTTATTTGTATATATATATATATAATATATATATATATATATATATATATATATATATATCTATTCTATGTTTATCTATTCTATATCTATCTATGTTTTTGATGGGTTGGAGTCAATAAAAGGGGCTATTTGTTGACTATTTTTTACTCGAGCTTTCACTTGTGATTACAATTTTTATCAAGAGCTTCTAAAAAATACAAAATGTCTTACAAAGTTGAACTAGGAAAAAAAAAAAAAAAAAATTTTTTTTTAACTCAACAACTAGAAATAAAAAAATTTTTATTTCTAGTTCAACTTTGTAAGACATTTTGTATTTTTTAGAAGCTCTTGATAAAAATTGTAATCACAATTGAAAGCTCGAGTAAAAGATAGTCAACAAATAGCCCCTTTTATTGACTCCAACCCATCAAAAACAGTGTTATATTTTTTCCAAACGAGTCACAAGTACTTCTTTTTCCTTACTCTTATATATATATATATATATATATATATATATATATATATATATATATATATATATATATATATATATATATATATATATATATATATATATATATATATACATATATATCATTAATTCCAATTGACTATTCGGATTAAGATCGCAGCGCCAATGCGGTATCAATTTGAACCGAGCTAAGAGCCATTATAATAATTGTTTACACCTCATCTTGTATATTGCGATTGCGTTAGTTTTATGTTTTTTGGAGTAGTTTTGTTCTTTTATCCATGGTTTTTTAAATTCAATATTTTTTGTTTGACTATTGTTTATTCCTACTGATTAATACATAGACAATTTTGTTAATTATAAGTTTTATTTTAGTTATAGACTTGTTAGAGTTAAAGAGTTAACAAGAACTTAAAGTTCTATTTTTTAATCCTTAAGTTAAATATCTTAGAATATATGTAAGTTTTTGGGTGGTACTAAAAATTCAAGATGTGCTGTAGAAGGAGAACAAGTTTTAAACTCGGTTATCTTATTTTGACTGGAAAATTCACAGACGTAAGTTATTAACCCACCAGGTGAAACACCAATCATAAACTAATTGTTAAATGGGATTTATATTGAGAATAAAATAGTATTCGGCAACACAAACACTTGGAGTCTGTACATAAATGTCAGTACAGTCCAAAATTAGCCTAACATTTGAAAATCAGCAAAACAAAGTGACCTGTTTTTAAGAATTTCTCCTTTGGTGGGAAAATACACCAAAGGCCGTAAGTTGTGGCTCAAGATAGGTATTAATTTATAAATATAAGTTTTTGTTAAGTCAGCTGTTATACCAAACAAAGAACCCAAAGTGGCATAAGTCAAATTTAACTTAAACTTTGTAAGAACTAACATTATCCGCTGTCGAACGTTTACCTATGAACTCGTTTGTCCTTAATATAATTTTCAGTCATATTTACTATACAGTTATAAATAGTGAAGTTATGTACACAAGTACAGTTTTTTAATTTAATGTCATTAACGATTTCATACAATGTAAGCACTTTTGGAGTGTTCACTTGCACAACTGCATCTTTTGAGGAAAGAGTGCTATTCTGGACTAGAAAGTAAAAATACATACTCTATCATATGTACAAAAGTACATACACTATCAATTAAATAAACAAAATTAAAATCGATTATATCTTTTAAGAAATTTCTTAATCTAAATTGCTAAGTGACTAAAACATGTGCAACTATTTGATGACCTGTTATGAAATATGTATAAACTGTGTGATAGTTCTTGGACAATATTTAAATGCTAAATGTTTCTATTAGTTATGGTTTTTTATTTGATTGTTACAGAACATGTAAAAAAATATATTACATTTTTTTCTCTTGGTTAAGATGAAAAGCAGAGGTACTGATTTCTTGAAATCAGCACCACCTGATCTTCGGCATTTTTTCTTTCTTATTGTATTATATGCATGTATAATTTTATATATTTTGTGTATTGTATGAATTTGAAGGAAAAATAAAGACCTTTATTATTATTATTATAATCTCCAATGACACCAAAACACAATATGCCCATAGTGTATTGTAATATGCCTTCAATCAAATGGCCTTCAACGTGAAAGAAAATAAATAATGGCTCTTAACTCGGTTATTGCAATAGCCGCTAGAGGGCGTAATGCTTACGACGAATTGCCAATCTAATGATTTCTACTGATTTTTTTGAATGGAAATCTACTGAAGATATAAAATGTGACCTGGCAACCCTGGATATGTATGCAAAAATACAAGAAGAGATAAAAAAATGACAACTTAAAGAAGAATTTGGTAAACGTCAAAAAGTTGAAAACAATTTTTTTAAAACTGAAAATATATATGGTTTGATACTAATATTCAAATTAAGTATTTAAAAGTAAAAAGCGTGTTTATGAAATATGATTTAGTTACGTAAGTGTCTTTATTATCGTTCAAATGGAAGCTGTAGCAGAAAAGTTGACAAGATCAAAGAACATGTCTGAAGAATTGTCTGGAGTTACTTTTGTTATAATAATCGGAATGGGAACTCTTACTGTACTATTATTATTTATATTTGCAAAACGACAAATTCAACGATTCGCTCTTAGATCAAGAAGAGGACCCCATATACCAATAGGACATGATGGGTCAAAAGTATAAGTGGAATACTTAATTAAGAATAATTTGTACTATAATGATTCCTTGTAGGTTCTTAAACGCGAAATTGAGCGGAGAATAGATTTAATTAAGAAAATAGAATGTGAACCAGAGCTGATTACAAAGTCTGATCCAAGGTACATAGTGTGTCCAGGGCAACAAATTCCAGCACACTACTATAGATTAAAAGCTGTGGATGATGTTAAGATTTTAGGTAAATTGTAGTATACAGTTCTTTGTAATGTTTTTTCTAACAAAACATTTTTAGAACATGAAATTACAAAGCAAGACAACTGTCTATTCAGACATCCTAGTGAAAATTTACGAGCTTACCTTTTAACAACATTAGCAGCTCCATTAAATGGTAGTGGACAAAGACTGATACATGAATTTTGTGATATGTATGAACATGCTAGACATGATCCCAATCATTTTGGAGATGAAGAGTATCAACAATATAATAGACTACTATTAAAGTTAATTGATGCGTAAGTATATTATTAGCCTATTTGTTATAAAATGAAAGCTTTAAATATTGCATAGAAACTCTTCAAGATATGTGCAATAACCAATAAAAGAGAAATAAAGGAAAACGAAATTATTTATATGATATTTAAAAGAAATAAGATACATAACATCTTTGAGAATTCCCTGCTTTGAGCACCAACAACATTGTTTTTGCAGTTTCCTTCGATTTTCAAATATTGGCACTGCGATGGAAGGTTTAGCTCTGTATCATCTTTTCCATTGGCATGGAAGGTTTCTTGTCAGTTAATGTCGTCATGTCTCAACATAACTTGTATGATTGATTGTCAAAAATCGAGAAATGACAACATCTTTGGTGCCAAGTATTTATTATGCAACATGTATGCATTATACAGCATCATTTGAAATAATGTGCATAAGGATTTTTTTTATGGAAAATATTGATATTATTTTCTGAAGTTCCACCTATAGTTTCTTTTCTATTGTTACTTTTTTATGCTTGTAAGCAATTTTACTTTTTCCTTTCATCTCAGTATTTTTTCAATCTTATTCTTTATCAGATCATTACAGTTTCAGTCGTGATTAATTCCTGTATTTTGTTATGTTCAGTAAGTAAACATTAAAACACAATCACAATTTCTCACTTACACTAGCTTTGAATTTATGTATTTCCTTCTATACTACGTTCCACGTTTAGAAAATAACATTGCGGAGATAGGGCCATGTATTTCTTATGGACGATAGCAACACGGCGTTGCCACGACACACACAAGCACAATTTAGGGTTGTATAATTTGTATTTTCGTTTCCACAAACATGAATTAAATTAATGTTTTTTAACGTAATTGACCAAAAGTGCCCATTCGAAACAAGAAATGAAAAGTAGGGAAAATGATTTTAATTGGATAAATAGTATTTACAAAAGATAATTTTATTTTATCTTATTTTAATTATAGTAACGACAGTTTATTTGTTTTTCGGTGAGAATACGATATGTCATGAATCATAGAAATCAGTAGAAAATATTGACCGCTTGGAATGCGTATATCTAATTACTAATTGCAACTTAAAATAATACGATGTGCGTATGTCAGCTACTTTATGTCGTTCTCTGACTACATAATGATAATAAGGCTTTTATTTAGTAGTTATTCTGACTTTACAGTTAAATGTTAATTGAAAATGAAAATTCAACAATTAAGCAAAGGGAATATCTTGGACATCCGTGCAAAAGAGAGTGTCTGAGAGTTTTGGCAACACTGATCTCCATAAGCGTAATGTTATTTTCTTAACTTGAAACAAAGTATAGTTCAATTTGGTTGTACTCAATTTTTTATGATTTTCCCTCTTTATGCCCTTTTGAACATTTAACTTCTCCACATCTTCATTAAAATGGTGAAGACTTATTGAATGAATTATGTATTAATATGTAACTATATGTACTAATAATGTATTAATAAATAAATATTTTTAGAGCCAAACTTCTTAAGTCATATAATACAAGTAGAAAATCATCACCAAATCGTACACCCCAAAGAAGACATGCAGCTGAAAGAAGAAATATGCATTCCCACTATAATGCTGAAGATGAAATACTTAGTGTTTCAGAACGTCTTGACTCAAGACCAACCTCTTTATCTATCCTAGCTTCTGCAGATGATGAAACATCTGTCTAATATATATAAATATGTTGTATAATATACAACTTTTTAATTTAAGGATATTTTTTCTTGTAATTATATTTCATATATTAAAGTAATATATGTATCATATAACCTTTATTTTTGTTTTTAACACCTTTATTTACTCGAGATAATTTAAAACTAATAATACTAAATAATTTGGAAACAAAAAATATTTTGTGAAAAATAATGCTTTCATATAGGTGAACACTGAATTATATCCATGAGACTGTCAGATTCATAGTATATGAAGGGTTTATAATCACTCTTAGAAAAATGACTTCCAAATTTAGAAAATCCAAAATAGAATAGTATCCAGCAGGGCAAACGTAATTCTTCTAGCATGGTAAAAATTTTTTATACATCAACATGGCCTGTAGGCGTCACAAAAAAAAAAGAATTTAGACACATTATGTTCAGAAAGGATAATTCCTTCAAGGTATCACAAAGAATACCTTGAAATACTCTCCAGTACGTAGAAAGTGGATATTATTAACGATGAGTCAACAGATTCACAAAACTAATTACTGGATAGTTGTTCTTATATTTTTCTGAATTTTAACAAAAAATAAAAATGTTTGATTTTTTTACTATTAAAAATACAAAAGTTTCAAATAACTGAAAGTTGTAATTTATTTAAAAAATGTTGTATCCCACATATAATGTCGAAACATATAGAGGTAACATGTTGTAAGCCACACAAATTACAGTAAAACTTTTTTTTTAACTAAATTGTAATATTCCTGTTAAAACCCATTGCACATCTAAATGCTATTTTATCTCTAAAGATCTATCCAACGAGAAGAGATAGCGCGCCAAAACAAGGCGTTGCCAAATTTGTCAGGACCGGATTTAATGTTTGCTAATACATAACTTTTTAAACTTATTGTTCTAGTAAAGCGGAAATCCAAAATTAATAATATGTTGTATTTACCTAGATTCATCTTGTAGGTTTTATGTAAAAGAAATTTTTCCATTTTAAAAATAAACAGCAATATGTAACACGTTACTATTCACAAATGAGAATAAATGCAAGAAACAACACGCTATTTACCAGTAATAACATGCAGATTGAAAATGTGGAAAACTTTACGTATCTTGGAAGTGTCATAACAGAAAGCGGAGGTACAGAAGACGATATTCGTATGAGGATACGAAAAGCGCAACAAGCTTTCAGCATGCTCAACCCTGTTTGGAGGTCTGGAGAATACACTACGAGGACAAAGATCCGCATATTCCAGTCAAATGTCATGTCTGCACTACTTTACGGATGTGAAACCTGGAAAGCGACAAAAACCCTTACAGACAAACTGCAGGTCTTTGTTAATAAATGTCTACGAAGAATTGTTCGTATTTTCTGGCCTAACATCATCAGAAACGAAGACTTACTACACCTGACCAAACAAAAGAGGTAGTAAATGAAATAAAGTCCAGAAAGTGGGGTTGGATCGGTCACACACTCCGAAAAAATAACTCCAGTATTGCAAAGACTGCCCTAGAGTGGAATCCCCAAGGAAAACGAAAAAAAGGTCGCCCAGTACAAACTTGGAGAAGATCCATCATGGACGAGATAAGAAAACAAGGAAAGTCTTGGAATGAGGTGAAGGCCTTAACGCAAAATAGAACCCGATGGCGCGTTTTCACTGAAGCTCTATGCTCCACTTAGGAGTTCAAGAACCTTATATATATATATATATATATATATATATATATATTATATATATATATATATATATATATATATATATACCTATACTATTCACAATGAAATAAAAATCGTCAAATACTAAATAGGAACTCAAAAACAACAGAAACAAAGCAAAGATACTTCTAATTGATAAAATCAACTGAAGAAATTATGTAGAAAGCATGTAGTTGTAGTCTCTTATAAAAACAATGTGTTGGGAATCCCCTAACCTAATCGGATGTTTGTTGAATTATAAACCGATAAACCTTATGACCAATCACGCCCGCGCTGCATCCTGTTCAGTTAAGTTTCGTGGTGATTCCACATATAGGCGCGTTTAATCGAACTTATTGCGTGTTTATATTTCTTATAGTCTGCTTTTATATTTATTAAGAAGGTCACTCTGTATATTAATCATTTTTTTAGACTGCAGTTTTTCCGTCTAGTTTATAGTTTTACAAACAATGTCGAGTTCTACAGATTCTGCGGAGGAATTCACTCCTAAAATGCGGTCAAAATTACGTGTATTTAGTAATAAGGAAAAAAGCGTTATAATAACATTTATACATCGACAATGGAATCACGTGCTGAAGCTTTAAAATCGGAAATAAAACAGACTGCTTCTACCAGCGGAGTAGGTGAAGCTTCTGTGTACAGAATTGAGGGAAAAGAAAAGTACAAAAGGATTTTCTTCACCGAAAAAGAACAAGCCCAGAAAAAGCATACTGGACGATTTTAATAAAACTGCTATACTACGAATTGTACCTACATCACTTTTTTTTCTTTCGAAACGAGATATCAAGTATAGACAAAGCTTGCCAAATTTGAAACACAGTACTTTCCATAAATTTCTAAAATCATTAGATTTTAAATACGTACGGAGGGGTAGAAACAGTGCTTTATTAGAACGAGAAGAGATTTTATGGAGGCGAAATTTTTTAAAATTAATTAAAAAATTTCGGGAGGAAAACAGGAAAATTTATTATTTAGATGAAACTTGGGTAAATGCAGGACATACAAAATCTCAGGCAGGCGTTTTTGTCGTGTCTCAAAAATCCATCTGGCAAGGGGAAAAGACTTATTATTACACATATTGGGAGTGAAACAGGCTTTTTAGAAGGTGGTCTACGGATGTTTGAATCAAAAAAGAGTTATGACTATCACGAGAAAATAAACTCCAACGTCTTTGAAAAGTAGTTTGCAAATATTTTGCCTCTTTTAGAAGATAACTGTGTAATAGTTCTCGATAATGCTCCCTACCATTCACGAAAAAGTGAGAATTAACCTACTATAGCATGGACAAAAGACTGGTTACGATAAAAAAATATCAACTTCCATCAGGACATGCTTAAAGTTGAACTTTACAATTAGTGGTACCGCGTAAGGCTGAATATATCAAATATGTTATTCATGAAGTGACAAAACCGCAAAATAGAACGACAAAACCGCAAAATAGAACTCTTTTACGTTTTACTATTGTGAGCTCAATGTTATTGGGCTGATGCTAAAAATTTTGTTGCTGCCAATAACAAGACTCTCAAACTTGCAGATATCAAAGTCCTCAACAACATTACCCAGGAGAAATGGATAAACTGTGTGAAGCATGTGCAGAATACAGTAGAAAAAAAGTTCTGGGATCTTAATATTATTGAGGTCATAGTTGAACCATTGATTATAGAAGTTTGTGGTAATAGTGATAGTTCCAGTTTTTTTTAATTGTTTTCAACGACATCAAGATAAGCCATCTAGGTAGCCACTTTTTTCCTTAGTTAGCTATAAAACAAAAGTCGAATGATTTTTTTAGAATAGCCTCGTTTGTATTTATTTTCATAATTAATCTACTAATCTCAATTATTATTTGTAAACCTTTTTTATAAAAATAATGCGCCACATACATTTGCCTCAAGTTTGATTTATTATGTTGATCTAACTTCACCAGATTGATTAACGGAAATAGATAACAAAATATAAAGTGTGAAAAGTAAAAAAAAGTAAGTGCACATTGTTCACGTTTTGTCGACTCATGGATTTAAAACTTATGTAGCAGAATAAAATATAACAACTTCGCAACAGCGCAATAGCAGGAGTATCGTACGGCTGTGGTCGTGGAATGCATCTTTATCGTCCGAAATCTCTTCCAATACTAATTTCATGCTGTACAGTGTTGTCAGTTAATTTAATATCAGCATTTGCTTTAAAAATACAAACAAAAAATTGTATAATGAATATCTGTTCCCAAGTTTATGACATATGGGATGAGAAAAACATTTATTTCCGTCTTTGAAAGTGCATTAAATAAGAACGACCTATTATTTAAAAATATATATATTTATAAATAAATCACTTAATTTTAGTAATACAGATCTGAAGACTTTATAACACTATAATATACGCGTATATTTCGTTGTTTACTGGTACTATCGTGTCTCGTTGGATAGATCTTCGATTAATATGTTTTGTCAGTCACAGATTATTTAAAATTTATATATAATCATATTTAATTACGTAATACTTTTCTTAAATTATACGTAAAATTATACACGTAATACAGCTCATGTGAGTCGTAGTTTACACTACATGCAGATCCGACCCTGACGCACAATTTAGTATGCAATTGTTTTTTAAGATTCATTTTTGTTTTGGGCATGCGTGTTTTCAAGGTTCATGAGGTTTTGCACCAACTCTACGCAAGTTATTAAATTTATTTACAATTAAAATTATTATGGGACCTATGGGATTTCCTTCTTTTGTCTATATAACAAATGAAATAATGAACAAAAATAACAGAATATATTTTTATGTATCAATTTCTTACATATTCTATAAGTATATATATATATATATTATATATATATATATATATATATATATATATATATATTACTGTTTATACTTGATTTTATTTTTAAATTTCTTAGGATTAATTCCATAGGCGGACAATCTGGCATCTGATATAGAAAGACTTTTGTTTTGTTCCTTTGAAAACTTAGGCTTTTTCCTTTTTCCAAATTCTTGACCATCAGCATGTTTCCTTTTGTTTTTATTAAATGATTTATTACCATTTATTTCTATGGCTCCTTTTTCGTTTGGCAAGTTACTGTTTAATGCCTTATCTGATGATGTATCTGTGTGATTATCTACAATGGAGTTCTTCTTTTTCTTCTTCTTCTTTTTCTTTTTATTTGAATTATTTTCGGACTCTTTTTGAACTTCTTTACTTTCAGCAGAAGTGTCGTTTTTACTGCTTTCAGTTCCATTTTCAGATGTTTTATTTTCTTCAGTTGGTTCCGTTGCACTTAATTTACGTTTTTTCGTTTTCTTCTTCTCGGCAGTATTTTTATTGGATTTACTTAATGTTTCACTTTCTTTTTCTGGTTGTTTTATCGCGTTATTATCATTATTATCTACGTTTTGTATAGAACTTCTTGCATTGTCTTCTGGGGTATTTACAAATAAGCTCGGAATGATCTTTTTCTTGAGGTTTATGTTTTGACCTTTTTTTTGGTACGCTATCTGTTCATATCTCTCCACTTCATCTGATCGGATTTGAACTGCTTTTTTCAATGAACACCATTTATTTAATTCTCTTTCATTTGCTAGCAATATCTAAAAAAAATAATACATTTAAAATAAAATTAAATATGGATTGGAGCATAATTGCATTTAATCACAATCATCCTATCACAAAATTGTCGGGCAGATTTGATGAAACAGATAGACACAATTTCTCGAATTCGCTGATGAAATCGTTATGTCAGAATTATGAAAGACGCAATGCAGTGTTTTACAAAGTTTACAATCGCGGCAAGTGAACTCGATCTTGTTGTAAAAGAAAAAAACCTTATCTGATCTATGTAGGTTGCTAAAAACCTCTCATCCCCTATTAATTTGGATATTCTGATCAAAAGATAGCCAATTTTTACCGTCAAGTTCACACAAATTTTATTTAAGAAATTGATTTCGCGCGCGTAACTGACACTATGAAACAGAAAACTATTAAAACTAATTCAAAAAGTAATAGAACAAAACAGAATTCCTCAAGAATGGAGATCAAGCATACTAATACCTCTCTTCAAAAAGGGAGACAAATCGGACCCAGAAAATTACAGAGGAATTAATTTATTAAACATCATCATTCTGGCTTTACAACCCTGCGTGTCTTGATCGATGTTATCAAGGAACCTTGTTCTAGGTCATCCTCTTCTTCTCTGACTTATAGGTCTATCAAGGAGCCTTTTTAGACGTCCTATCTTGATTCATTGCTCCATAAATTCGCCTTAGCACATTTCTTTCGAAATATCCTAACATGTTTATATCGAACCAGATGTTAGAACTAGGCGTATTATTTTTTTGTAGTTTTATTTGTGTATTTCTCAATATAGTTATGGATTTAAAGAAGAGATTGAGTCAAAAATAGCATCTGCTGGCCGTGCAAATTCTGCGGTAGTTTTATTTTCAGTGTTAAGCGCTCCCAGGTATACAAATTCGGTCTCTGCTTCGATGACGTCGTTTTCTATAACAAGTGGTTGTAGTATTTGTGGTTGCATGCTTATTTTCATATACTTTGTTTTGTAGGTGTTTATTATTAAACCTATTTTTGTAGCTGATTCTTTTAATGTTACATACGCATCTCTTACAGCGTTTTTCGTTCTGCCAACAATATTGATATCATCAGCATATGCCAGGATTTGCACTCATTTATTATATATTGAACCAATGCTTACACAAATAAACTGAAAGAAATTATAACACTAGCAGAAGAACATCAAGGTTTTAGGTCGGGAAGATCATGCACAGACGTTATATTTATAATGAGACAAGTGCAAGAGAAATCATTAGAATACAACAAACCGGCATATCTATGTTTCGTGGACCTTAGGAAGGCATTTGATCGGGTCAAATTAAAGCACGTTATCCACTTATTGTACGCAAGAGAGATACCTCTAGAAATAATCAAAACGATCAAAAATATCTATCAAAAAACAAAATAAAAGTAAAACTGGAAGAAGAACTAACCGACCCTATTGATGCTGGCAATGGGATAAGACAGAGTGATTCCCTGAGTCCTCTATTGTTCAACCGGATTATGGATGAAATAATAAAAAAAGTAAGAACTTAAAAAGGATACCAAATGCAATAGTGAAGAAGATTTACAACATATGCTGCAGTACCAATTTAATATAACCGCCTTCTTGTTCTTCTTTCAGTGCCCTGTCCGATTATCGAATGTTGGCGATCATATTGGCAATAATAACCTTTTTCACGGCGGCTCTAAATAAATTAAAGGTGGTTTCTTGATAGCATTCTCGGAGATTTCGTAGTCAGGATGTCCTTCGTCGGCCTGGGCCTCTCCTTCCGTCGATCTTACCCTGTATTGGGGTAATATAACCGCCAGAAAATTTAATATGTTAATTTCACCAAAAAAGGAAAATGTATGGTTACAACAGCAAATTTACTAATATGTAAATTGGAGCTGGAAGGTCAGATAATAGAACAAGTGATGGAGTTTAAATATCTAGGCATCCATGGACGTATAAATTAGCTACGGAAAGCTCAAAACTGAAGTGGACGATCAAGTGAATAAAGCAACCAGAGCCGCAGGCTGCCTGAATGAAACAATATGGAGAAATAAAAATATTGGGAAAGAAACTAAAGGCAGAATTTACAAAACAGTCATTAGACCAATAATGACATTCGCAGCAGAAACACGACTTGACACAGATATGACAAAAAGAAGGTTAGAAACAGCAGAGATTAAAACACTTAGACAAATCAGAGCTAGAAATACAGATATACGAAGACCACGAAAACGATGGAACAACTTACGCGCGTACATATTCTTAATAGACCGATGTTTTCCACCATACAAGAGAGGTTTTAGGGGGAAGCTGTAAACTTTATGCGTCATTTTTGGGGTTCCAAAATTGACCTTCTCAAAAAAATTCAGTTCGTATGGTTTTTAGAGTTTCTGCGGCATTTTCGTCTCTGACGACTGGAGTATATGCTGAGTATCATACAAACATCAAAATAATCTAGGGGACAGCTGTATTAATAGCTTTAAATCAATGTTAGCTACAAATACAAAAATAAATTTATGTTTTTAATCTTTTTTGTTGTTTTGTCGATTACTGAATATGAGCTTTTTGTCTATAAGATAAAAAATAATATTTCTTTATTAGTACTTGATTTTTTATGTCTATGTGGGTTTTATTTAGTCTTGCAATTACCAATAATAGAGAGACTCATTTAAATTGCGAAACGCAATGGCATGCTATCAGGATGCTTCAAGCTGGTAAAAGTCAGAGATGTTGCTGAGGTCCTCCACATGGACAGAAGTGTCACTAATCGTTTGTGGTTAATGTGTCAAGAAACTGGTGATGTTGCTGAACGTTATATAGGCCGTACAAGTATAACCAACCAGATTGAAGACTGTTTTATTAGGATGCAGGCTTTGCGAGATCGCACTGTAACTGCATCACAATTACAAAAGAGATTGCAAGAGACCCATCAGGTGTTTGTAAGTGGACATATCATTAGAAATAGTAATATAAGTAATAGTATAAAAATAAGCATGAAGTAGGGTTAAATGCTCGAAAACTTCAGAGTGCCTGTGCTGTCCAGAGGAAATCGCGCTCGACTCAGTGGGCACAAGAAGACGCAAATTGTAATCAACAAACGTGGAGAAAAAGACTATTTTGTTGTGAGTTGAAGGGCAACAAATTAGTTTTTTATTTATTTATTTTTTTTTGTTAACATTTTTTGACTTCGTGATTCTCTTTGAAGATCTATTGCGATAATTCTAAGAAAAAATGTTTATGTTATATTCGGGGCACTTGTTTATAACTTTTTATTAAAATTATTTTAAATACATTATTTAAAATCTTTCTGTAATCTCGAATTTTCTTTTTATTCCCTAGATTATTATTTTTAATGTGTATATATACTAGAACACCAATGAAACAAACACTCCAAAGAATGGAAAAATAGTTGTAAATCTATGAGAAACAAGACGAAAATAAAATTATTAACTAAATAAATGTTCTTACTTCCTCTGTTGTTAATCCAAAATCATTTGGTGCAACTTGTCTATATTTGAATCTGCATGGAGTATCACCAATAATATCTTCACAGTCAAGCTTGTAATATTCTTCAAAATATTTCTCAAATTTCTTGTCATTTGGATCATACTTTGGTTTTGGTTTGCTAACTGCCACAGCAAATTTTGATTTTCTCTTACGCTTTTTTCTGCCTTGTACTTGATCATCATCGTTAATTGATTTGGATGTTTGTGGATCAAAATCACAATCCATCTAAAATTATATGATTAGAATTTCAACAAATATCACATGAATAAGTTCTTACATTAAAGTCTTCATCTTCACAATGAGGTCCATCATCATTGGTGTTTTCATTGTCTCCATTATAACGTTCCCAGTTTTCTGAAAACAAAATGTTCACTTTACTTACTGAACAGTCATCACATTTCAGTATACAAATAATTAAAAAAAGCTGGTTTCCCACAAGATCGGAAAATGTATTTTTTTAAATATAGATCAACTAAATTGGTATTGGTAAAAAATACTCCAAAATATAATTAAATTAAGAATTAAACAAATAATTGAAAAACTAACTAACAAGTAACTAAAAACTTCTATATTGAACACAGAGCAGTTAGGATTTAGAAGTACCTAAAGGATGTAATGATAATTTAGCATTAACAATAAATTATATTAGAACCAGCTTTAGTAAAAATCGTTGACAAATTTGACGATTAAAACTAGACTGTTGCAGCTGCTTGCAATTTTTACACAAGATCAAGGAAAATACATATTTAACCACACCATTTAATTTTTCTTGTTTCACAGGTCTTCATTAAAAAAGTCAGTCTCGCAACTTACAGTCCAGACTCTCATATATATCATATAGAGAAAAGATCTTTTAGGTTTCAATTGGGAAATAGCTATCTGTGGAAGCTAAAAAAACCTAAGTTATAATATACAAGATATGAGAATTATAATTACCAATTTCTAATTCTTCATCTAGATCAGGAAATTCTGGTTTTTGTTCATCTTCAGGAGCATTATAAAATTCATCATTAAAAAGATCTTGCATCTTTCTGTCATGTTCTTCGGGATCGAAATCGCCATCTATATCTGCATCCTGCCAATAAACAAAAAACAAAATTAATGTATAATACACTTCATCTAATTTATATAACGATGCACGTCATCGGCGTCATAGCCTGTGACGTTACATGATACCAACACACAATATTTAGGGTGTAGGTGTGTTCTTTTTAGAATCACTTTACCGAGTACACTGGCATTACAGCCACTAGATATATTTTATTATATACGCGTAGAAATAATATTTAAAAATTTCTATTAATGTTAACTTAAAGGAATACACAATAATATGTTTCATTTAATTTGTATAAATGCATTATAAAGCGTTTTTATCAAGAACATTTGTTCGGAACACACTGTAACTGTAATCGAACAAAGCTAAAATTTTGGCATAAATTGGTAACACTTATTTGACAGTTGCGGTGTTGACACTTTTTGTACTTCATTATTTTGAATTTTGAAGTGAATATCTCTTGTTTTATATTTTTAACTATTTAATAAAATCTGTTCTTTTTAGAACAAAATTAGTGTGTTTTATTTCAAAAATGTCACGTAAGAATTTAAATAGTCGTTATAAAGAGATGGTAATACTTTTGCAATAATTATGTAATCTATTTGATTTAAAATGGAGTCAGGATTTTTTTATACTTTGGCAACTATGTCAACTTCGATCTCTGACGTAGATAATGACGTACGTCGTTATCTAAATTAGATGAAGTATAGTTATGAATGCATAATTTGTTTCAAGCTATCATTGCCAACTTATTGACTAAAACAATAGATCGGAAATCTATAAACCAATTATGTATAAGCTACTTTTTTATGTTAACTACGAAGATGCGATATGACAGTCAATACTGGAACATGTCTCATATAAATACCAAAAGAGAGATATATAAATTGCACTAAAACTGCAATGTGCAATGTTGACAAAACAGTTGCCTGTTTGCCCAAGTGCATAAATAGGAAAAACAGGAGAGGATAAAATATTGTAAATATAATACTGTAGATTCTCCCACAATTGATACTTACCGCAAATCCCAAACTTTCATTTCCAGTAATTTCTTTGAGCTTTTCTAATTTCTCTTCAATTTCTTTCAACTTTAATTCTTGCATCTTCTTCACTTCTTGCATTTTTTCTTCCTTTTCTATTTTCTTTCTTTCCTTTACCTCTTGTCTCTTTAATTTTCTTCTATCGTCAGTTTTCCTCAGTGAATTTTCCATTGTCCTTGGATATCTTTTTATCTGCAAACAAAAAAACACTGACTAATTGTTATAAAAACTGTAAAAAAAGAAATGCAATACTTTTGAACCAAACTGTAAGAGTACAGTAAGTCATCTGCAATTGTTAGTTAAGGTAAAAGATGAATCTACCTTTACTTGTTACTGACTTTCACATACTATTCATAATAACTAAAGGATAACTATGATTAACTAGGCTATGATCAAAGTGTTTTCAAAAGCGTGAAAGCTAACTTTATGCATGAAAAATTGTGCAAAGTGCATTTTTTTAAAGCATTTACCTTTAAGCCATATGTTTTACCTACAGTATTTATGTAATTTAGTAACATGTGTAAAGGTATCATTTAACAGGATATGCATTAGAATAAAAAATTAGGAAAATGACTCTCAAATGACTCAAATGGCATTCAATAATCTCTCTACACCACACCTCACTGATTATTGGTCATAATCTCATTACACAACATCTATATAAGATTGGGTTAGTATCCTATGATATGTATATCATTAGCAGAACACCTACTATACACTTGTGAGCCTACTATTCATCAGATGGTTCTTGAATTTAGATAAATCTTAACATCAAAGGATTTAAGTGTTGCGAATATGTCAAAAATATATTTAAAATTTAATTTTCATTTAAAATTATATTTAATTGAGTTTTCAAATTTAGTTCTTAAATACTGGATTACTTACAAATTCTTGATCAGGTTCCTCATATCTAAAATTGTACTTATGTTCAAATTCATCTTGTTTTTCAATATTTTCTTCATCATTGGACAAATCCTTATCAGAATCATGAATGATTTCATCATAGGTGGGTATATAGTCACCATCATCTGTCTGTAAATATCTATAAATATAATTTTGTTAGAAAACCTGCATTAAAAAAATTATATAAAAACAATACTTTTTATTTAATATGTAATCCCTTAAAAACTTCTCTCCTTCTTCTAGGTCAGGTTTATTCCAGTACTCCTTTAATGGTTTCAAGTCTTTCTCCATTTTTTCATCATCCAAGCTCTTTTTCTGGCCAACTAGCCATTGCTTATAATCTTCCTCCTCTTGTGTTATCTCTGCTTTAGATTTTTCCCTTTGTTTAAACAAGCCTCCCCATGTTTCCTCATTTTCATTGTCACTGTCTTCCATTACATTTTTAAAACTTTCTTTAAGATGGTTTTGCTCTTCATTGTAAGTGGGGGTCCTAAAAAAGTTTTTATAAAAAAAAAATCCAAAAATGTTACCTTAATAATTGCAATATCACGTTATTATATCAAATCCAGTATTAATTACAAATAATTCACGTGTATAACACAAATGTAAATGTGATTAAAAGTATTTTTATCATTTTTAATGCTAATGGGATTTCAGTAATCACAGTAATCGCTCAAATTCTTTATTAGTTTATTTATAAATAATATATGACTTTATCCAATACTTACGATATCTTATAAGGTAGAGATTGGAATCTTATGATATGATTGGATAGTATTGAGTATTAGTGATGAGAAGGTCACTAATGATCCATTCACAAAGACCTGATCTTTTCGAAAACCTGTGATTGATACAATCGCATTCTATGACCCTACCGTTCAAATGACCCTATGAATGATGCTGTCTAGTGTTTACAGAACAAACTGTGTGATTGCAACACTTTGCGCGGTCAAATTAATACATAAACCACGAATCGCAAAGGATCATTTAAATGTTAATGTATTATGAATAACATGATTATATTCATTTAGTATGTTTGACTTCTCAAAACACAAAATTTAAATGCATAATGTAACAGTAGTTTATTCAGTAATATTATTACCTGGGCCTATCATTTTCATCTTCTTCATCACTTAGTACTCCCCCCTTTTCTAGAATTAGATTTCTTTCATAGTCCTTTAAAAACATAGGTTTATCTTTTTCCTTTTTCTTAACTTTAACATCAGCTCCTTTCTTACTAAAAAAAGTTACATCCTTTTTATATATACTGGGATCCTTATTTTTCAGACAAGCCAGTGTCTTGAAGAAATCCTTTTCAATGTCCTTTGTTATTTCTATGCCTTCTTCATCATCAGATGAACTAGAAGATTCTTCTTCATCCAAAACATCTTCACCATATTTTGTTTTAACTGGAAATAAAATAGTATACTTATATAAATAGAAGAAGAAAGTAGTGTATAAACTTTATACAGAAAAACTAATAACTTATTTTTTAACCTTTTTGGTACAACTAGTATTTACAGAAATGTTATGTGCAGTGTGACCACTAATCTACTATCATCTATAGGATATACACAATGTGTAAACAATATCTGATTTCTCCATTAGACACAGAAAATGGTGAAGGTAGGCCCCTATTTATCTGGTTCTCTTAAATTATTTATGATGTTACTCCAATGAAAAGATTAATAAAACAAACTTCATTTAAAATCATAAAACAAACTCTAAATATAGTTAGTATTAAAATAGAAAAAAAAAATAAATAAATAAAGTATTGGAAGACTGAGCAATGGTAAATTAAAAATGTGAAGTCTAATTTGAAATTACAGATTAACAGAACTGATATAATTATTACTTACGCCTGTTTAATTCTTCTTTCTTTCTCCAGCTATCATACTTTTTTGCATATTCATTATCCAATTTAAATTTGTCGTTTTCATCAGAACTGGAGTCTCCAGCACCAAAAATATGTGACATGATGTCCTGTTTTCTTTTTGGAATGGACTGCTAATACATAACCTCAAAGTGTGCTGCAGCACATTATGTCAAAGTCAAAATAAATGGTCTTAAAGTATTGTGACATGTAGCAACGAAAAAAAAAATGTTTCTTTGATAAGGTAAAAAAAATTACTTATTTAATTCAAATTTAAGAAAAGTCCTAAAAAATCCGACATCGTATTATTTTGTAGTATTTAAAGAATATATAATATAAATAATAATAGGACTGAAAGCGCACTTCTTGATATTTTAAAGATCCTTATGAAATTAATAAATATAGTAATTTTTACCATATTCGACATCCTTTGCTTTTTAATTTTTTCAATGTGTCATAAATATCGTATTCTCTCTACTTCGATTACCATCATTATTTTTTGTTCCTTATATTATTCTTCTTGTTCTTTCTTATTCCTTATTTTCACAACTACAAATAATATTGCTCATAGTATTTTCTCTCATCCGGGTCAAAGAGGCACGCAATTGTTAGTGATCAGACGACACCGTGTAGAACTTCAGCTACTGGTCCACAGAAATTAAAACTCAAAAAATTAATGTCGTTACATGGAACAACGGCTAAAGACAATCACAGGTAAGCTATCAATTATTGAGAGCTGAGAAGGTATAACATTCAAATCTCTGGACTAGCTAAAACGCATTGGTTAGGAGAGTGCCGTTTTAGAAAACATAATGGTAATTAAAAAAATAAATGACGGTTGCGTTTCGATTTAATTTGAGTCTCTTACCACTCCCTGACACGTGTTTCTGGGTCTACCCGTCATCAGGAGTTTGTAAGAAGACTCAAACCAAATCAAAACGCACCGACTACTAAGGCAATTATAGTAAACATAATTGCCAGAGTATGCTACTAGAGGCCTCTAGTGAGGAAACATGAATGGTAATTATGTTTACTTCTCTGGCTACGAAACCCAGAACTATACATATGTTGTCATTCTGATCTCACTAAGACTAGTTAGGATAGAATAGTTCTCCTTAAACTGGAAGGCATATCACACTCACTATCATACAAGCTTATGCGCCAACCATCACAGCAGACGACATAATAGTCGAGGAATTCTGCGAAAAATTGGAAACAATAACTGCCAACATTCATATAAAGAGCTACCTTTACTATGCGGTGACTTAATCACAAAAATCGGCCACACTAAACAGAATGACGACCTAAAGAATGTACTGGGAAAGTTCAGCATAGGTCCGAGAAATGGTGCTATCACAAATAAGTATTCTATTATGAATATAGTCCTTCTCAGAGCCATTAATACTCGATTTAATCACCATGTTCGCCGACTGTATGCTTGGAAAAGTCCTGAAGGTAAGTCTAAAAATCAAATTGAATACTATCTACTACTGATCCACGTAGTATGTGGTCACGCGATCTGCCGTTTCATTGTGTTTCTATTTTTTCACACCTCTGGGCGATACATTGCGCAAAAACGGTACAGATAGATAATTCACAAATATGTAGTTGGGTAATAACGTTAAAATAAAATAAGACTTAAGTTTTATTTATTATATAAATAAAATACAGTTAAAACCTTTAAGTTTTGCATCTCGAGCCTGTACATCTGATATACATTTGTCCTTAAGTTAGTAAGGGAATGCGTCACGTAATTCCTGAGGTAACTTTGCAATCAAAGCATCATGGTCGACGCCACCGGCTGTTGCGAATATTCCTTGATCGTCTGGAAATGACGCATTTTTGGAATAATCATAGTGTTTACCGTGGATGTCTGTTAGTCTTCCCCCCGCAGCTTCTAACACAGCTTCTGGAGCACAAGTGTCCCATTTCTTACAGCCTCGGCTAGCATAAACGTATGCGTGGGCTCTTCCCTCTAACACGACGATGACCTACAAATAAAATAGTTCAATTAGAAACATATTAAAAATAGTCTGATCATAGATATTCTATTGTCTGCGCGATGAACTATTTTGTGAAAGAGCTCGTCACTCGATTTGGAATAAGCTATCAGGTGTCATAGAATGGTTTGTTTGATGTGATGTGAATATTCCTTTTCGTATATTATTTACACATCATTGTATTCGCTGTGAGTTTCGCCGGTAGCGCTCTTGCTTTAGTAGTGCTTTAGCAGAGTAGCTTTCTTGTAAAATCTGTGTAAATGAAATATGACAAAACGAGAAAAATAGATATTTATTTAAAAATCAAAAATTAATGAACTGAAATATTATGGTAAACTGATTAATGAACGAATACACATAATTAATAGTAAAAGTAATTACGCCTTGTTATTTTATTCATTATAATTATAATATTTAAGATATAAGTTCTTGCGACTGGATGACTACTTACGCAAGAGGTCATTGAGAAAAAGAAGAAGTTTATATGAAAATATTTAATGGTTAAAGCAAATATTTAAGGTTATAGACGCTTAAAACGTCTATATTCTGGTTACCCTTACCTCTGTAACGTTGTAATTCTTGTTTTTATTTTACATTTTTATTCTGTTTTTGCTCAGTTATTTTTTATGTGCGTAGGCCTTAGTGCTTAGATATCAATTTGTTTTAATTCTTCTTCTTTCGTTTTATGACCTCCACCTCTTAAATTTGTTTTAATTTTATCAAAATGGATATTAAACATTATACTGGTTTTAAGTCTATATCACATGATATCCCATTTCAACCAGCTACACCAAAAAAGCGAAAAGGTTTAGTTGATGCAGGGCATGTACGCAATGTTTCGGAATATAATAGCTTTTTAATTTTACACCATACAAATATCATGTTTGCATTATAGGTTATTTACTTATTTTTCTCGTTGATAGCAATAATCCATTTTTCTTTTTGAACTATTTTATGCTTGGCAACAGGAAATGAATAAAATTTACAATGACTGTTGTACCCAGTATTTTTACATGTATCATATATTTTTCTTTTTGAAAAATCCATATTCGCCATTATTTGAATGTTTACAAGTTAAATGCACAAAACTGCCACTAACAGCGTTGGTGAAAACTGTCAAATCCCCTCTACCCATCGACTCACAGCGAATACTTTATTTTAGAGAGTAGGCGCAAAATTTCGGGCCAATGCTTTTTAAATGTATTCATTTTTTTCGAATCCTGAGAAAACTAATAAATGTTTTTGAAAAATTTAAACGCAGAATGAAAGATTACATTATTACCGAGGGCCGAAAGTCCCTTAGAATAAACAAAAAGTTTCTTTTGAATGAGATATTTGAAATTAAAAATCACACTTAATTTTCTCTTCTTTTTCACCTTTGGTAACTTAATACAATAAACATTATAGAAGTTTTCAAGGACTTTCGGCCCTCGGTAATAATGTAATCTTTAATTTTGCGTTTAAATTTTTCAAAAATACTTTTTGTGCCTACGCTCTTAAAGTGGAAAATTGCAAATTATTTGTACATGACGGTGTTTTGGATATTTTATGAAAAATATCAGATGCCATCTAGTGTCCTCTGGATTAGAGGAATAGAAAAAGTCAATGTAGTAGGTTTGCTTCAATTTAAAATAGATTACACTAGTCAGTGAATGACAAAAAGATTTTGTATTGACCACTATTATACGAAGGGAAATATTTTTCATTCCGTCTCACCTGGCGGGTCAATCTGACGAGCTAACAATAGCAAAACACGTCTTATTATATACACTCACCATACATTACATAAATTTCCCAATCATTATCATCAGTTCAGATTTCTACATACACGTGTATCTTCTTTCTGCCACAGCCAATAAGATTTATTTCGTTTATGATAGATCATTATCCATTCCTCACAATCTTGCATATCTTCTCATTTAATGAATTTTATCTCCTTTTCTATATTATATTAATTTAAAACCTCTCTAATCAAATTAATTTTCAATTTAAAAATAAATCATTGATAATCTCCAAATGTAATAAACATAATTATTTATTACATAAATTCACAATAATATTAACATAAGGGTACTTGACCTTGGTTTTATTTCTTAAAACAACCTTTTAACCTGGTCTCAATGTCATTGTCATTCAAACATTTAATTTTTATTTCCGGCATCAGCAGTTAGTTGGCTGACGTCTTCTGACCAACCCAGATGAGATGATGAGAATGTAGTTTCGAGTGGGACCATAGTTTTCCCAGAAAGTTACTTATTTAATCATCGACAATATATCGTTTCAATTTATGATTTTAAGCATTTAATATGTAATCACTACACGGAAATGGAATGGACAGGCTCTGTACCGAGGACCAAGCACATCTATTTATTTTAATAAAAAAGGGTTCTAGAAGACGCTTGCGATATCCTTCAACAGTTAATTGACCAAAACAATTTTAATTAAAACCCTATAGGTTCTTTGGATCGTTACACTGAGTAACGTTATATTTTATGGAAAAATTGTATGCTTATGAAATCATTTTACCATTCTAAAAGAAAAGTGTCATATAAAGGTAGTAACAGAAAAAACTGTATTCTAACAACTGTATTGGAAATTGATGTGCTCCTTAAATATGTGTTGTTTTATGGTTTAAACTGGCCAAAAAATTCCAATTTTTTGACAAGTTCAAATTGAAATTGTGTATAAGTAAATTCCTAGAAAATTAAAAAAAAAAAAGGAAATCAACAAGTGAGGATTGATGATATTATTTCTTCTGCAATTGGGGTACCTCAAGGTAGTGTCCTAGGACCTCTTTGGTTCATATTGTATTTAATTGATATAAACTTGTTTGTTAAATGTGATTTATTTAATTTGTATGCAGATTGCACATGCCTACTTGCATGTTTTGATTCAAACTTAGAAAATGTTGTATCTAAAATGAATTCAGCATTGCAGTCTATTAATAAATATTTAAAAATCAACAAACTAAAGTTAAATGTGTTACAGACGAAGGCTATGATAATAACAACTAAATACAAATACTCAAATATTAATATAAATACTATTAATCTTCAAATTGACAATGACAAAATAGAAATCATCACAACAATTAAGTACCTTGGTTTTCAATTGGATAATTTATTGTCTTTTAAT